CTCATCAAGAAACAGGGAGGACCCAAATAAGTAAAATCAGAAACCAAAGCGGAGAAATAACCACTGACACCAACAGAAATACAAAGGATCACAAGGAAATACTATGAAAACTATATGCCAACAAGCTGGATAATGTTATGAAATGAACAAATTCCTAGAAAAAATACAATCTCCCTAAACGGAATTAGGAAGAATCAGAAAACCTGAGTAGGCCAATAAAAACTTAGGAAGTTTGAAGCAGTATTCAAAAAACTCCCAACAAACAAAAGCCTGGGTCCAGACTGCTTCACAGGGAAGTTTACCAAACATTCAAAGAAGATCACTTATCCTCCTCAAACTATTCCACAACATCCAAGAGGAAGGAACACTTCCAGCTCTTTTTATGAGGCCAGCATTACCCTAATTCCAAAACCAGGTAAAGACACTACAAAGAAAAATAATTACAGGCCAATATCCCTGATGAACATAGATGCTAAAATCCTCAACAAAATATTAGCAAATCAGATCCAGCAATATATTACAAAGATAATACACCATGACCAAGTGGGAATTATTCCGGGAATGTAAGGCTGGTACAATATTTGCAAATCAATAAATGTGATACATCACATTAATAAACTGAAAGACAAAAATCACATGATCATATCAACAGACACAGAAAAAGCATTTGACAAAATCCCACACCCATTTTCTATAAAAACTCTCAGCAAAGTGGAAATAGAGGGAGCATAGCTCAACCATATAAAGCCCATATATGACAAACCTACAACCAACATCATACCCAATGGTCAATAGCTAAAACCATTTCCCCTAAGAACAGGATCAAGACAGGGATGTCCACTTTCACCACTCTTATTCAACATAGCACTGGAAGTCTTAGCCACAGCGATCAGATAAGAAGAAGCAATAAAAGGCATCCAAATTGGAAAGGAGGAAGTAAAAGTCTCATTATTCGCAGATGACATGATATTGTACATAGAAAACCCTAAAGACTCAACGAAAAACTTCTAGATTTAATAAATGAATTTGGCAATGTAGCAGGATACAAAATCAACCCTAAAAAATGGATGCCTTTTTAAAAATATATATATTTTATTGATTTTTTACAGAGAGGAAGGGAGAGGGATAGAGAGCTAGAAACATTGATGACAGAGAAACATCGATCAGCTGCCTCCTGCACACCCCTTGACTGTAATCGAACCTGGGACCCTTCAGTCCGCAGGCCGACGCTCTATCCACTGAGCCAAATCGGTCAGGGCTGGATGCCTTTTTATACACCAATAATGAATTCTCAAAAAGAGAAACTAAAGAAGCAATCCCATTTACCACTGCAACAAAAAATTTAAAATACTTAGGAATAAACTTAACTAAGGAGACAAAAGACCTGTACTCAGAAAACTACAGGACATTGAAAAAAGACATATAAGAACATAGAAACAAGTGGAAGAATAGACCGTGTTCATGGGTAGGTAGAATTAACATCTTTCAAATGTCCATACTACCCAAGGCAATCTACAGATTCAATGCAATCCCTATTAAAATACCAACAGCATATTTCACATCTCTAGAACAAATATTCCAAAAATTTATGTGGAAAAAAAGACCCCGAATAGCTGCAGCAATCTTAAGAAGAACAAAGTTGGAGGAATCACAATACCAGATTTCAAGTTATACTATAAAGCCACCATAATCAAAACAGCCTGGTACTGGTAAAAGAACACCATATAGATCAACTGAACAGAATAGAGACCCTAGAAATTGACCCAAGCCATTATGCTCAATTAATATTTGACAAAGGAGGCAAGAGCATACAATGGAGTCAAGACAGTCTCTTCAATAAATGGTGTTCAGAAAATTGGACAGATACACGCAAAAAAATGAAACTAGACCACCAACTTACACCATACACAAGAATAAATTCAAAATGGATAAAAAACTTAAATGTAAGTTGTGAAACCATAAAAATCCTGGAAGAAATCATAGGTAGCAAAATCTCAGACATCTCTCATAGCAATATGTTTACGGATACATATCCTAGGGCAAAGGAAATTAAAGAGAAAATAAAAAATTGGGGCCACATCAAAATAAAAAGCTTCTGCTCAGCAAAAGAAACATTCAACAAAATGAAAGGGAGCCCACCTAATGGGAGAACATATTTGGCAATGATACATCTGAAAAAGGGTTACTATCCAAAATATATAAGGAACTCATACAACTTAACAGAAGGAAGACAAACAATCCAATTAAAATATGGGCAAAGGATATAACTAGACACTTCTCCAAAGAGGAAATACAGATGGCTAAGAGACATGAAAAAATGCTCAAGGTCACTGATCATGAGAGAGATGCAAATTAAAATGACAATGAGGTATCACCTCACACCTGTCAGAATGGCTACCACCAACAAATCAACAAATGACAAGAGCTGGTGAGGATATCGAGAAAAGGGAACCATAGTACACTTCTGGTGTCAATGCAGACTGGTGCAGCCATTATTGAAAACAGTATGGAGTTTCCTCAAAAAACTAAATATCGATCTGCCACTTGATCCAGTGATCCCATTTCTAGGAATATAACCTAAGAAACATGAAATAAAAATCAGAAAGAATGTATGCACCCCTAGTTCATAGCAGCATTAATTTGCAATAGCTAAGATTTGGAAAAAGCCCAAGTGCCCATCAGTAGATGAGTGGATAAAAAAGCTGTGGCACATTTATACCATGGAATACTATGCAGCAGTAAAAAAGAAGGATCTCTTACTCTTTGAGACAGCATGGAGGGACCTGGACAGTATCATGCTAAGTGAAATAAGTCAGTCAGAGAAAGACAAGTATCACATGATCTCACTCCTATGTGAAATCTAAATAACAAAATAAACTAATGAACGGAATGTATCCAGAGCTATGGAAGCATGGAACAGAGTGCAGAATCTCAGAGGGAAGGCGGGGGAGGGTAGGTGGGTGGGAGGTAATCAACCAAGGCCCTTGTATGCATATATGCATGGCCCATGGACACAGTTAATGGGGCAGTGAGGTCCTGGGTCTGGGGATGGGCTGGACGGGGTCAAGTGGGGGGAGGGGGAGGAGACATATATAATACTTTCAACAATAAAGAATTATTTTTAAAAATTCTGAAATTAGAAAAAATAAACAAACAATAAGACAAATATAATTTTTAGGGACAACAGAAAAGTTATTGATAGCAAGAAATGATATCTAAGTTAATATATTAATATAAGTGGATGATAGGCAGCAAGGTATGCTAACTTTTTTCATACAAAAGGCAGAAAAAATACTTTTTTCTATTTGCTTTAATAATGATAGAAATAAAGTCTAAACAGAAGCATGAATACATACTACTGACAGTTGACAAAGGGAGGGGCAACTGGAAATAAAAATGAAATAACGTGCTTTGATAAGAATATCCTGAGTCCACTGTACAGGTGTGCTAGAAACACGGGCACATATAGCACAAGGACGGACAGTGCCGCAGGTCCTGGTACAATGTTTTGTTCAATGTTGTTTTGTTTCGACGCTGATGGGATGCTAAGGGCACTAACTCTGGTTCCTATGCATTAGCCCAGGATCAAATCATTTCCCTTTAGTCAACGCACCACTGTGTGCTGTGTATGGCTCTCCCACCCCTACCTCATCCAGCAGCGCCAGGTGCACTGGGGTGTGGTCCGTCTGAAGCTGGAAGTACCGTGGCTCTGACACGGTCCAGTCCACCCACTTCAGCACACCCATCGCCACCACTGGAAACCTGCCGGTAACAAGACACAATGCTCCCTTTCAGAATTTTTTCAACAACAAACAGAAAGGTTTAAAAAACAAGGACAACAAGCTCAATCTATCCCATCAATCCTTTCTGATACTCTCTGCAAGGGAGATACCCATTAGTGAGAGATGAGCTGGCTCCCTGCCAACACGCAGTGAAGAACCCTACTCAGCGCTCGGCTCCTTTACCTCCTCCCTGCTTGACAGGAGAGCATCCATGGAGCCCCACGGGAGCTGGGGGACAGGTTGAAGTTCACTGTTATTTAGCAAACCCTCTCCTTGTCCCTATAGCACAGGCTAACGGGAAAGACTCAAGTGCCTAAGAGAACACCCATCTGTAAGCTTTTCTATGAACTCTTATTGATATAATTGGCATATTGTTGAGTCTAACTTTTACTGTCAATAGACCCTTTTCTCCAAATCAGTTTTTGTAACTCAGTTTAAAGTTCTCTATAAACATTCAAACAAGAAAAAATAAATAAAATGAGCAAACATTTCTGAAGCTTCTGCAGGGTTTTTGAGCAAACTGCTCCGAGGAACGAAGGTGAGCACCGAGCGGTCGCTTACCTGATGCACTGGTAGAGTGTGCTCAGCTCGGCCACCAGTTCAGAGGCTCCTTTGTTCTCATTACAACACAGATTGTGAACGGTTTCGACCGCCTTCGACGTCGACTTCAGCTCATCCTTGTTGATGCTCACTCGCTTGTTCTGAAAACCCCCCAACCCCGTTGGTGAATCCCACAGAGCACATGCCTGGCCAGTGGGGTGATCTGCTATGGGCCACCTCTCCCTGCAAAGGCCCCTCCCTACTCTGAAGTCAGGGGTCCATTTACATTTAACTGTCACCCTCCCCACCCACACATTACAGAGAGACTGAAAAAGGTCTCTTTTTTTTAAAGATCTCATTCTTTAGTCACACAAACTTCAAACTATAGTTTGAATAAATAGAGATGCTGTGTTCATTTTCTTGAGACTGTTTTTGGCACTTCGGCTATTTTATGAATAAACACTAAAAAAGACATTTCTGACACTATATGGGCTCATGATTTCTTGCAGCCAGAATCCCCAAATAATCGCCGAGAGGAGGGGGATCACTTGTGTCCCTAACAGCACCTTCTTCCAGGTCTCCACCACGCTGGCCGCATATGCCAAGATGTGGATGTACTTGTGCTTGTGGTCCTGGTTGATCCTGGCGCCGGGTTTGAAGAGCGACTGCATGAACAGGTCCAGGAAGGCTGGCACCCGGATCTGGGGAGGACACATGACAAGTTGGAAAGGGACACAGAAACATGGCAGGTGAGGCCACGCGCTCTCATGTGGTGGGCGGTGGGCCGTGAGTGGCGCACACCCAGCAGCAGCTTCAGGGTGTGGGCTTGGCGTGGGATGGGGAGGACCAGGCAATGCACAGAAACATTTCGACAGGAGTTTGTACTCACTGGCGTGAGAGAATTAAGAGAGACACAGACTTCCGCAGTCCCCCTTCCAACTCGGCACGGGGTGCCCCGCTTTACTGTTACAATGAAAAGGCACTTACGAGTTCAACAGGAGGCGGGTCCATGCTCGTAAACATCTTGAACAGGACTGTGATGTCAGCCGGATTCAGGGCTCCTTTGGACAACATAGCCCCAAGGGCCTGGCACGCCCTCGGGTAGGAGGCAGCCGTGCCTAGTGCTAGTGTGATCTGACTGGCGTCATGGCCTCTTGGTGAAAACAATCAGATATCTCATCGTCAGTAAGGGAGCATACACCATTAACGACCCCTCCCTGCCTCCCTTTTCCTCAGGGAATGCTCTGACGGGTGGGATCCCTGTTTTTTCCTAGTTCTGCTTTCACTGTACACTCACTAACTGACCCAGGAGACAACACTTGGAGCTACTGGGAAGGAAGGGTTCCAACACAGCTCGCAGACTTTCTAAAAGGAACCACTCACTTTCTAAATACCTTGTTAAGACTCATCCAGTAGACAATAAAGAGCTAATCTTATTCTACAATATGGACAACACCGCAATAATTAGACTACTGACTAACCACTTCCAGACTATTCTTATTTACAGCTGATAAATCCCAATATATGAAAACACAGGTTCAAAACTCCAGTGAGTTGAACAATCTTCAAGTACTTAACGAATTATTCATCAAAGCAACACTTAAGGAAGCAAGGCCTCCCCCTGTCCTGAAGTTCCCCTGGCTTCTCCTGCTTGGGGGTCAGAGGCAGGCTGCCTGTGTGACCAGATAAGAGGGCCTAGAATCTTCGGTTGTGGAAGCAGGGCAATGGGGAGTCTACTGGGGCACCCAGCGGGACCCGGTGATCACAGACACCGCTCACTTCTCCTGGGCGAAGCGCTGGACCTCCTGAGCGATCCTGCGCACGGCGGAGCCGCCTTGCTCCTCTTGAGCCAGCACGGACATCATGGCCTGGGCAAACAGGTATGTGTGCTCCCCATGGCACACCATTTTCTGAAAAATTCCAGGGAGAGAGTGTGAGGTTTCACGATACAGCAATGACAAATGCAGAGCAAAGAGCAGATGACCCTGTCCTCCCGCAGGAAGCTGCCATTGTGGAAGGAGCTTTTGGCTGGGGTGTCCCCTAAAGGAAGGGGCATTTCACACTGGAAATGCTCGACCCAGCTGCCTCCTTCCACTCCGAGATGAATTAAGAACTTACGGCAAACTCAGGAAGATTTTTTTCAAGGTTTTCTTCTCCTCCATCCAAAATTGTAGCCAGAGAGGTACGGAGTACTCTAGAGAACACCTCCAGCTGCTGGCAGGCTGTGGATACACTGGTTATCTCCCCTTGGTACCCTGCGTCAGAAATAAGCTATAACCAAAAATAAGAAGCCAGAGTGTCAGCAAGTAGCGGCTACACATTTCACAGCAAGTTGGCTTGTTATCAGTGTTCGTGGTGAGATGGGACAAGCAAGCACTGGTCTCAGTCACACACCTTCACTCTGACCCTGCTTCGCCTCTAACTAGGTTTGTGCCCAAGCCAACCACCTGGCTCGGTTTCTTTGTAAAATGGAGGAGATGGACCAGGCAGTCCTAAAGGCCCCCTTGGGACACAATGGACTCTGTTTCTGCCAAATCCTAGAAACCCCAGATATGTTGACCCAAAAGCACACATACAAATTCTGTGCTTTTCTTTCTCATGTAAGGCTTACTAAAGTAAAATGATGAAGGCCTTTACCAAAAAAGCAAATGCAGTCTTTCGAAGGAGAAAGATCACCCACCCACTAACCATCCTTAAAAATAACAATTGCTCATGAACGCTTTTGTCTTTCTCTGACTCTGGCCCTCTTCCTACCTTAACAGTGAAGTTAAGCATCAAACAGTCTGGATGGGCTTCGGCCAGTTTGTAGAAAAGATCTCTCCATGTGGTATGTGCAATCATTTGTTCAAGCCAAGCTGGGGTCTGCCGACAGACAGACAGACAGACAGACAGAGGTGAGGCCCAGCATTAGCTTAGTGAAGACTGTGCTGTCTAAACAATCACGGATATTTTCAGCTGCAGAGTAGAGCCCTGGGAGCATTGGATGTGGCCCCACAGTCCCAGAGCTGCTGACGCCACACGGGCAGCTGAGTGACAGTTGAACGCCCACTCACGGCTTCTGGGAGAGCCGACTCCACACAGGACACGCCAAGGCACTTCCTGGAGACTTCCAAGAGTCCCACAGAAGCACGCGCACAGGAGTACATCACACACACAACTGCTCCCTGCTAAATCAGCTGTGCGCCTGGGCACAGAGGACAGGCAACTGAAATAGCGCAGATGGCTTTGCCATCACTGGTGAAGCAGCCATGGGAATGTGACTCTCAGCTCTCCTACTGCGTGGCTGCCAGGGCTGTGCTCTGCATCCACCAGCCTTCCGCGCCAAGGTTGAGCTGCCCATAGGCTGCTCCCAGACACTGAGGGCGGCAGGGCTCTGAGGGCTCCAGTGACAGGTTACTTGCAGACTCTGACACTGCTGAAACTTTCTGACAACTGCACTATCATCTGAGACCCCTCCTATCCAACCACCTGAGACCCCTCCTACCCGCCCTCCCTCTTGTCTTCAGGGATCAGACCTGCCTCACAGCTCCTGCAGCCTCCTCTAGCCACTACCCATCTTCCTCAAACCTCCCACTTACTAATCCAGCCCTGGCACCTTCCTTTTGGAGGACCTAAATGAACAAACCACACCACCTTGGAGCCTGCGCCTCGAGTAGCATGGAATGGGAGGTGGGAATCTGCTGTTCTTTCTCTGGAGCTGGTACCTGTGTGCCTCTCCCCACTAGACCAAGTGTGGCATTTAAAGGGCAATTCTGACTCGATGCAACTTCTGGCCCACACCCCGATTTTAGTCCCTAACTCTTACATTTCTTATATAACATGCCACACTCCACTGTACACATGGAATTAGCAAAAGGCCTTAGGAACTGGTATTAGAAAAAGAAAAAAGGCCCCTCACCTCTCCTTCTTCAGTAAAAATAGAGTCTGCTTTGCGGGGGTCAAAATGTTTGATCAATAAATTCTTCAAGTGATTCTCCACGGTCTCCTGCACCTGCACGGGTTCAACGCCTGAGAGAGAACGACAACCTCTCAACTCGTTGTGTTGCTTTAAAGAAAGTAGACAGCTCCAGTCTATACGTGAGTCAAATATGAGAGACCTGCTTCTGACAACTGAGGATCTGGGATCTCTTTTAAAAATTCCTATTTAGTAACCCTACTCAGTGCTAAGAACCCAAAGGAGCACAGAGCAGAACACAAGGATGATTCCGGTTAGGGGCATGTACGTTGGTTGTGGGCACACCCCCAGTGGGAGATGTGCAGGAGGCAGCTGGTCGATGTTTCTCTCTCATCGATGTTTCTAACTCTCTATCCCTCTCCCTTCCTCTCTGTAAAAAGTCAATAAAATATATTTAAAAAAAAAAAAAAAAATTCCTATTTAGTAACCCTACTCAGTGCTAAGAACCCAAAGGAGCACAGAGCAGAACACAAGGATGCTCTACCCTTTTCTACACGACAGGACAATGTCTTTAATCCTCGCTAAGGACAAGGACAAATGAGCAAACCAGACAGGCAGGGGGACAGACAGGCACACCCCTGCACAGGAGGAGGGAGCCAGCCAGCAGAGACACTTGTCTAACCACTGTGACAGGGATGACAGACTCGTGTCCAGGAAGTCTTACTGTGTCATCGCAGCCAGTTTCGTGATTGACAGGAGGCTCTACTCTGATCACATTCGCTGAAAGCCACAATCATACTCAGCCCTAAACTGTCCACCATCTGCTGTTTGCTCTCATGGACCTCTGAAATGGCACACTGAACATACACCGTGTAACAGTCCAATGAGAATCACAGTAGCGGGCTATCTGTAAACCTCAGTTCCCGAACGAAAGATAAGGGTAGGAAAGTTCAGTTCCGTCTTACTAAGTCTTAAAAACCAGGAAGACAGAGAAGCTTTCCTATTTATCGGCATTATAATGACCCAAAGGTCTTCGGAAAAGGGGGAGAAGGTGATGAGCAGCCAGGACAGGGGCCACCCACAGAGCACCTGTCTGAATGAGCCACTCGGCCAGCAGGTTGACAGTCTGGGCCACAGCAGTGTAGTTCTCTGACAAGAGCTGGATCACGTTCTCTGGAGACCCTCCTGCCTGAAAGTACCTAGAAAAAGTAACGAACTCTTACACTACAATGACGGCAGACAGGTATGGGGGTGGATGACAACAGGGAGGCAGGTAAGGAGGGACAGGTTATTAAGGTTTTTACAGTGTGGAGGGGACCCCTAGAAGCCTTCCTGTCCAATATCAGTATTCTTACTTTTACAGGTCACCTTCTGGGTCCACTACAAAACCTTCTCTAAATTATCACCACCCTCCTCCCAAAACAAATAACCCTTCTCACGTCCGTACCTCTTGAGAGTGTTGAAGATGGAGGGCTCCATGATGTAGTCCCGGGTGGAAAACTTGTGGAGGCACTCCTGCTGGACCTCAGCGTCATCCTCCCCCTCGGCATACTCCTCCTCCTGCTGGGGGTCATTTCTCCATTAACAAAAGCTCCGGGAACCTCACAAGTCTCTCTCACACTGTCCCCTTCAAATTATGCCACACATGGCACATTATTACATGTGACTTCCGTGCGACTCTCAGGGAGTGGGCTGGACAGTAATGAGTGGCCAAGAAAATGGGATCCAGAGTCACACCAAGGGGGTCTGTCTTGGCCTCTACCCTGGAGAACCTGTGCACGCGGTCACACAAGCCACCTCGTCTCTGGGCACCTTCCCTGTTCAACAAACAAAGGGCATCAAAGCACCTACTCCCACTTGGCTGTTGGGAGGACTGCACAGCTAATTTTTGGAAGAGCCAAATCCAGTGCCTGCCATTTAGTAAGAGTTCAGCAGACATTAGCTATTACTGTTTTTACTATTATTCTGTATGTGCCATTTCACGCTTTCTGGCCAAGTTAAGGCAATAGTGATTCCTGCAGGCACACACCGCCCACCTGCTGTTAGAAAGTAAAGACCACAGACCTGCATCGTATAAGCAGCCCTGGCTGGGTTCTAGTCCCCCTTCTACCTGGAAACCATTTAAGCACGTTCCCGAGTCTAAGGACAAAGCAGCAGGATGATGTGATAACCGTGGACCAGTGACCCCGAGGTCTGCCCAGCTCTCACTGTTGTCCTAATGAACAAGCAGGTGCTTCTGAACACTTGCTGTGCGCTGGGGGCACTGGCTGACCCCCAGGGGACCTAGGAACATGGAAGACAAGGCGTGCCTCTCCACCCGAGGAGTTCACAAACTAGTCGGAGACCAACCTCCACGTCACTGACTCTCCGTAGGGCAAGAGCTGGGCCAGACTCAGCAAACGTGGCCCCGGGCCCAATCCAGTCCTCCTCTTGTTTTTGTGAATAAAATTGTATTGGAACAACAGCCAACCCGTTTTTTAACAATAGTACCTATGGCTGCTTTCCCCTTAGAAGAGCAGAGCTGAGTGGCTGTAGAGACCTGCACGGCCTAAATGCCCCGTGGCCGTTACAGTCGCCCACCCCTGTGCAGACCGGGGGTCCCCGCTGAGACCATGCCTGAACAAGGCCTTGAACAAGGCTGTGAGGGACAAGGGACGGCAGGACTCACCGAGGCTCCTCCTCCTGTATGAGTCTTGGGCCTCTACCCTGGACCCCCCTCCCTCCTCCTCCATCTCCTCTCGGACCATACCACCTCCCTGCCCGTAAATCCAGAATTTAGCCTCCATCAATCGATTGATGGATGGAAACCTCTCTCTCTCTCTCCAGACTCAAGTATTCATCAGTCTGTTCTCAGGTCCATTCAGATGCC